TCTTTTCCGAAATAAGTTAAATGATAATACAGATTAGGAAAATCTGCAGAGATAAATCAACAACACTTCTAAACACAGTACAATAAAAATGCATTTAGCATTTATTAAAGTATATTCCACTGCGTGTCCTATTTTCCCGCCCATAAAACCCGATAACCACCGTTTTCATAGGAAAACATGCAGGTTGTAGGGATTAATGATTGGGGCTACATAAGCTACCGTCGCCCTATTTCCAAATAATCGTTTGCATATCGCCCACCGATTCCCAAGATGACAAAGTAAAAATGCCAACTGGTTTTCAGATGAAGGCAGTTTCAATTGCAGGTTCGTTTTAGAAATCCGGAAATGCATGCACAGTTGTTTTTAACGAAGTTTACACACGTGGGAACTTCTTAGGTCAACACCAAACGACGAAAATAGTGGTACATAGACCGGACGTCTTAGAAATCAGCCACATTCCCAATCAAAACAGTATACTCTACAAAAACTGTCATGCCTACAGAGAGTTTGATTAAAACAGGACTCAGCGCCACCATAAACCTGTGATTACCCACCGAATTTGTCTGTGCATCGGGTGGCGCAAAACCTGGAGCTTGGAATGGCTGGCTGTTGATCCATAAATGACCATTCCAATCTCTCTGGCCTTTTTCGGTAATGTTCTTCTGGCGTACCGATTCTATACTTCATCACTATGGGCTATGTTGTAGATTTGCCGATCCAAACTAGTAGGAGGCGGGAGACCGTCTCGCGGTACGCGGCACGCGTTGGTGCAGGATCACGCCGCGCCAGCTACCTGCACCTGATTCCTGCCCAATCAGGGCGCGGCGGGATATACTGCTGTGTGTATGTATCACCTACACTCGAAGCCGCCTCCAGTCCTCTTGACTCATACTAAGAACACCAAATTTTGTACCCAAGGAAGTATTTTCTTCACCAATTGCATGCTTTCTGGCGACGGAAAAGTATGCTGAGACTGGGATTATCCTTGATATTTAACTGATTACCCACCGGGGCTCGCTGGCCTCAAGCTGTCCGAAAATATTGTTTCTGTTTAGTTTATAGTTACCTAGATTTTCGAAATAAGATATTTCCAAAATTTTCTTCGCCATAAAACGATGTTCAAATGCGTGGATGAAGCCTCACGCCGCACCGGCCACCTGCACCTGATCCCTGTTCGATCAAGGTACGACCGGCTATAATATTGCGTCTGTGTCGCCTGTGCCCGA